GAAAACATCCCCGCACCAAAGGGACCCGGCCAGTACGGTCGAGTCATGCCGGACGAGTACACGCAGATCGTCACCTCGGACGACATCAAGGCGCCGTACCTCGCGTCGACCGACGTCGCGAAGATGCGCGCTTTTTGGCTCGAATGGCTGCGTTACGAAGACGCCGTCATGGAGCGCTTTAAGCAGTTCGACGGCAAGGCCGCCATCCAACGGCGGGTGCTCCGACACTGCATTGACGACACCACACTCCGGACGATGCTCCGGTACCGCTGGAAGCAAGGCAACCGTGCCCTCGAGGCGATCCCCGATGACGAGCTCTACGCGTTCTTCAAGACGGACTGCGAGCGCGTGCGGACCAACGTACCGGACTTCAACGCCCGCGTCAGACGCGAGCTCCGGTGCAACGAGACGATTCGCAACGGCGAGTCCCGTGCTCTCGTCCTCATCGAGCAGTTCGTCCGCATCTGCGACGAGTCGGGCTTCCGCGACTACCCCGACGTCGAGCCCGAGGCCGCCCGCAACCACATCATCAACGCGGTCCGCCCAGAATACCTGCAGACGTATCTGCGCCAAGAAATCAACTTCTCCAAGAAGCGTTACAAATGCTGGGACGACTTTGTCGGCCTCCTCATCGACACGTTCGGCGCGTACACCCGTTTCGATAATTACAAGCCCGGCACTAGCTCAGTCGCTGTGCGAGGTGTCGTCGGGCACTTGTACGTTGGTGGCGGTCGGCGTCGGCGGCGTCGGCGGCTCGGCGATGATGACGCCTATGAGCGCGGTGTTGTCGGGCACTTGTACCGGCAGTAGATCGGCCAAGTCCCAGACGCGCCGTGTCCCACCCGCTTTCGCGAGAAGACCAGTTGGGTTGTAGCCAAGGCGGTGCATGACAGCGCTAACAATGGATAGCTGCATGATTGGATACATTGATGTTGGATAGTTTGAGATCGTTGGATACACGGACGCAGTTATTTGCAAAGATCAAGATTGATGGTGACACACAAGGTTGACTCCATAAGACGACACGGTGGCATCAACGCTGGCTGCAACAACTCGAGGGCGTGTTGCATGAAACCAACTTGGAGCGTGCTCGCCGTGTTGCGGCAAATCAGTTCTTAGTCGTTTGTAATACCCCTATCGTAGCCCTAGACACGGCTAGAACCACGTGTGCAATGCGTTCGCTACGTCTACCAAAACGCACGTGTTGCGCGATTTGACTTGCGCCTTGTATGCTCCGAAATCATGTGAGACGAGCGCCATCTGGTTTGAAAATCATTTGCAAAAAAGTGCAGTCACAGCTCGGAGCGCGCCAGCATATTATGCGGCCGCATTACGCCAGACGTACCGCGTGGTATGGTGGCATTGTCCGCGGCGACTTCTGGTGGCAACGCCGCCGCAGCCACGACTGCA